CTCCTGTCTGCTTTGTGGCTTTCTCCACCTTCTTTTTTTTTTTTTCATCAATAAGCAGTATAGTCTTAACATACGATTTTTGAAAGAGATTTTTTCTGTGAGATTTGTTTCTTCCAATCTTTGTATTGTATTGAATTTTCTGCAATAGTAAAATAATCAGTAAACATTTGAGGAAGATGTTGGGCTGTATGAATACACAGCATAAAGTGGCACATAATTCACCATATTAAACATAAAATGTGTTTACTTAATAAGCTTTGTTGTAATAGTAGGCAAACCAGAATATAATAATTAATATATCTAAATATCATTGTAAGCAATTGCACCTAACGATATGAAGGATATAATCGACTTCTGAGACTGAAACCAATCTTGTTTCCTTCTTATAAAAAAAAAAAAAAAAAAAAAAAACACCTGTATAATAGTAGTTAATAGCTTAGAAAAGTTTCTGTATTGCTAAGGGAACCACATAGGGAAGTTGCTGAATCAAGAGAAAATCTGGGTAGTAATAAGTCCATGCTTTTTCATGGCGTCCCCAGATGCTATGAATGGAATGTCTTGTCTCATGTTTGGAGGAATCTATCCTAGACTTAGCTGTCAACACCAACAATTTTGTTTCTTTCAATTTTTGTCAATATCAAAATCTCATAAGGCACAGGGGCCATTAAATTACAGTGTATCAAAACTCCCCAAAAGATCCTTTAGGTTTATTGATATTAACTCTCTTGCTTAGGAGAATAATAAACTGAAGAAGAGAATTGCCCAAGTCACAGCTAGGTGCAAAACTGGGGCTAACCCTCATATCAAATGCCATCTAATCTTGAAATGCTTCTTGTTTTTGGACAAAATCCCAAAACTTCACGTGTCTCTCAGAATCCTTTACATCTCATTTGATGTATTTTAACTACTTTCTTTGCATTATAGTTTTTTCTTTACATTAATTTTCCTGCTTCCTTCTACACATCCATCTTGTTTCGGCCTGTCTTTCCACCAACTGAAAAGAGTCTTTGCCAATCCATAATTGAAATATCCTCCGAATCTTAGTACTTCTCATTTTGTCTGGGGAATCAGTTTAATTCATCCTCACAAGGACTATTTCTGTTCCTCCAATGTCTTCGGAATGTGTGACCAATATCTCAATAATTATGTTTACTAATACATTTTCTTAACTTTCTTATCAAGTTGTGTCCAAACTGACAATTTTCCACCTCTCTGATCTCTGAGATCAAACTTTTCACTTGGTTTGGATTGCCAAAAATATGTGGTATTGTGTATACTAATTTTGTAAGAAATGTCTTTCTAGATAAATTATGATAATAAAAAGAAGATATACAGAATAGTTTTTAAATATCCATGGTCTACACATCTTAATATCGTTTTCCACAATTAGGACAGACAGACAACGTAAAGCTTATATCTTACAATACATATTGGAGTGAAAAAACTTTTCTTCCCAGACTTCTTTGATGTTTTTAACACTGTCATTTTTGTCATTGAAAAGTAGATTGTTTTTCTTTTATATTAATATCATCACAACTGCATGACAGTTATTATCCTAATTTTTCATATAAAGAAAGGTTAAGTAACTCTTCTAAAATTAAACAGCTAACAAGTTGTGGACCCAAGGTTAAACCTTAAAATTCAAGCACCAAACACCCTAATCCATACTGCCTTCCCTATGTTAGATATAAGAGTGTAATGATCAAAATAATGTTTACTACTCCTCTGCCATCACTATTACTATTAGTTTTATCATCTGGAAGGGAATGTACAAGTAAAGCTGTATTAGCTTTGCAGTTAACCCAACCCCTTAAAATAAGCTTTACCAGCACCATTAATATTCTATACTTAATAACATAAAGAAATCAAGCTTATTTATAATCACAGATAAGAAATGTAACTTTTCACAGCATCTAAGCATGCTACATTCATTTTACCTCAGATGCAATTGAATCATCAGAGACTAGATGGTTCTAAGATACTAAAGTTAGCACTATAATGAGGTGTAGAAAAACACAGCATTCATTTAAAGTGGTTAGGTGAGTCTTGGAATCAAAGTTACTTCAAAATAACTTAGGCAGTAGGAAGTAAATGCAGCAATTAGGGAACCAGGGCTAGAATAAAATATTCCAAGCTGAAAAGACTCAGTTGGAGAAAACTAACAGCAGTCTCCAAAAGGAGAACATTTTGGATATTTGCATCTTAGCTGTATATAATGCTATCACTGTACATTCACATTGAATTACATTCACCCTATGTGCTTATTTCCTCCATCAGCTCATAAACTATTTATTCCTCTTTATATTCTTACTTAACTACAACTGCACACACTAGACCATTTGAGTGAGTGAAACGATATAGAAATTGTTTTAGACTTGAAAGAAATGACTCTTTATTAATGCTACTCACTGAGGTATATACTAACAAGACCACTTTAAAAATGAGAAACAAATATAGTCATAACTTTTTAAACACAGTTAATATGATAGATTTTTATAAAATAAGTTCTGGATCACTTAACTTAAATCTTAAAGAACCATTTCTTCTTACCAAGGTCACTATTCCTTGAAAATACTGAAGAATGCCAAATAAGTTGTAGGTAAGTAAATACCCAAAGGAAGTAAAAATTCAAAGGATATTAAGGACCACTTATTCAATGGACTTAGGGAGGGGCGCCTGGGTGGCTTAGTCGGTTGAGCGTCCGACTTTCGCTCAGGTCATGATCTCGCGGTTCGTGGGTTCGAGCCCCGCGTCAGGCTCTGTGCTGACTGCCAGCTCAGAGCCTGGAGCCTGTTTCTGAGTCTGTGATTCCCTCTCTCTCTGACCCTCCCCTGCTCACGCTGTCTCTCTCTCTCTCTCTCTCTCTCCTAGAAATAAATAAAAATGTTTAAAAAAAAAATGGACTTAGGGAATATATTTTATATTTTCTGCTAATTATTTGCAAATTCTGGCAATATGCATAGGGTAAAAAAATCTGATTAGATATTGTTTTATCCATAGTCTTTTACTTCATCTTCACCATATCTGTCACCTTTAAATATTCAGTATTTAAAGGAAACGAGGGCCTTAAAATATGAAGTCAGTCCATATGGACACACAAAAAATTCTCTTGTCATATGTGACAATGAAAGATTTCAGAGATAATGTATCATAAACCGAACAATGTATAACCATCTTTTCACTTGAGGTGCACTATGCTCATTTTATAGTTTACGTTCAATTCTACCGAAGGTTTCTAGATCATGGTCTATACATCTCAATAGTGCTTTCCACAATTAGGGCAGCATTGTGCCTCATACAAAAACAGAATGTTTTGGCAGACAAATAACTTAAAACTTACAACCTACAATAGACATTGCAGTGAAAACTAATTTTATTCCCAGACTTAATTCTTTAAATAATTACATCAGACACAGTGATAAGCTAAATACTATTATAGACTCAAAATTGTTGTGTTAACTTCCTTTAGTACTACAACAGTAAAACTAGAGTTTTTATACAAGTTGATATTCAAATTCTAAAACTATGAAGAATGGTATCTATTTCTAGAGACTCATTTTCCGCTTTGCATTTTATTAAATTCTCCAAAATCATTACTATCCGATGGAAGCTCATGATTTAAATTTGCTCCAAACTTGTCAGTACACAGGAACATTTTCTCATCCACATTTCTTGTTGACATCCTACTTCATTTCAGTGTGTCATTAAACACATATTACTGAAAGAACAAAAACAAACAGACACACAAAAAACTGCCAGTCCGGGAGGGGGGAGTTTTATACACAATACTTTATAAATACATAGTGGAGAAAGTCACTAACTTTTCTTTTCTTACTTGAGTTCCCAGGTTACTCAATTGATATTGTTGAAAGCCTCCCATTTTTTTTTTTTTTTTTTACAAATAGTTTATTGTCAAATTAGTTTCCACATAACACCCAGTGCTCATCCCCACAAGTGCCCTCCTCCATGCCCATCCCTCCTCCCCCCCACATCCATCAATCCTCAGTTTTTGTCAGCATTCAAGAGTCTCTCATGGTTTGCCTCTCTCCCATTTAACTGTTGAGTGCACACTAAGTTCGTGTGAAAAAGTTTATATCCAGCAATTATATTATCTAGACCTTCAGTTCATGGTTAAGAGCATGTGGATACAGCTGTTTCCTCTGGGTTAACACATTTCAATTTTAAATTTTCTAATCTTAAAAGACAATGTTTTAGAGGTATACTATATCCTAACCTTGATTTAATAGATATAAAGCTAATTAAGATTTTCATAGCAAAAAAATATACAAACTATAAAAGGGTCTGACCTAGAAATTAGAAAAAAAACAGAGTTCTAATTCTGTCTTTCCCACTAAATTTAATGTTGAACAGGGCACTTCACCTCTTTATACCTCTTTTTGTTACTCTTTTTTGTAGAAATACATATGGGCTCTATAAGGTTCTTCTAACAACAAATGATATTATTCCGCCACTTTTCCTTAAGTGTCCTGATAATTTATTTATCATCAATAACTCATGATATCTGTGGATATTTTTAATGAGATGATTATTTTGACATTAGAAACTCATTCACTAGCTCACATATTGCCATTAGAATAATGGCATTGAAAGAGGGAGAGTACTGAATTATGAAATTTAAAGTTTCAATCCTATTACAAATTATTTGACTTTCAAAGTTCCTATTATAAAATATGCCCAAAATTAGAAAAAAATAATGATCACTAACAAATTGTTTTTATTAATTTCTTAATATAAGAGATGAGATTAGTCTATACCTCTTAGAGAACAATATGAAGGGGAAAGTTTCAAACTAACACAAAAGGCAAGACACAAAATCTAACTAAGATTAAATATGAGAAATTTTCTAATGATTTCAAAATATTTGAGGCACTTAAATTTGTTTAGATACACAGGAAACAATTTCACATTAATGATCATAAAATGCCAATAAAAAATTACTTCTAAAAAACCGTCTTTTTTAACTTCCTACTGTCACTCACCTGTATCTTCCATTTACTATTCATCTTAATCACCAGAGATTTCATCTGAGACAATAAAATACAACAGTATCTTAGCAAATACAACTTAATGGAAAACTGAATTCTTACATAAAATTATAATGGGAGCACCTAAGAGGATTAAAATAATATTTACATTTGGTTTATATAATATTTGGTTTAGCTTCAGAAAAGCTATTTAATACTTTTAAATAAGAAATTAAATATTTGAGAAAATAAAGATGAAATTTTATATACATACAAGCAAATTTTTCAACAAATAAATATACCATTTCTCTACTAGTTATTTCATAAATACAAACTCGTGGAGCCAGTGAAATCTTTCTTAAAATACATTTAAAAATATGTTTATGGTTCCAAACACATTAAAACTATAATTACCCTGTTATAATATATTTTTTCTCCCAATATTATGACTATCAGTAGGAAAAGAATTTTAATTCACCTTTCATCACCTAAGTGATCAGAAAAATTTCTCTCCATATGCTATAGTCACTACTGGATCACAATGGGAGATGAAATCATCTTCTTGAGCATTTAACAGCTCTAAGAATGATAAGGAGCAGACTCTGACCCCAGGCCCATAAAATGTTTATGTATATAATTACACTTATCCTGTTGATGGTCACAAAAGAGTTTTTGATGACTCATAAATAAAACACTTTCATTTTTCTCCTTGCCCAGATATACAATTGCTTAAATTTTGGATAATGTTCAGATTAGTTACTTTAACCCTTAAGCATGGACATTATTTTAGAGTAAAGACACAAACTATAAAGGAATGCTTGCCGGAGGGCTCATACAACTATGTTAATACCTAATTTTCTATCAAGACCTCAACTTTTTTTCACATATATAAGTATAGGAAATACTTGGAACCTTGACTAAGATGAGAGAAAATGGGCAAGTCCTGCTGGATCTTTTAAGAGAAATCCACTTGCTAAAAATACATAAAAGTAGTATCTACAAGGAAGCAAGATATTTAGGTCATTATGGATTTTTAAGGAACTACTGAGAACACCAGAAAAAATCCATATTACAACTGAATTGTCAAATCGATCCAGTGAAATATTTTTGGAATTGTTTAAAAATGACAATGATCACAAGGTATTCCACCTTAAAAAACACATGCAAGAACATCCATACTTTCTAAAACTTCTCGAGAATGACAATTCTTATCCTTTTTTATATTAGAGTAAGAAATGGTGGATTTATTGATTTTTTTGATGTCCAGGAAAAGACAAAACTTTGATTTATTTCCCAGGATTACAGGATTCCCAGAAATAGAAACGGGCTATTTCCAGGGTTCCATTTCTCTATAATAGTGAGAAGAAGATCTTCCATAGTTTGGCTGGCTTTTAAGTCTTATGAGCCAATGTTTCAGAAGACTAGAAAGTCAAAAATACAATTTCTAATACTCTGGAATATGAAATGAAAGACTGGTGTTTTAATTTAAGGGATTGATCTGGATAAAAATGCTCTACATTTGGATTACACATATGTTTATAATAGATAAAACATAAATGAAGTCAAATACAGGGTCTTATATCAGTTCATGGGGTATAATTTAATATTGACAAATAACTTTGATGAGATAATTTAATTGTAAAACCATATCTTCCTAGAAAGTAAATATATAAAATAAAGCAGTTTAAAGCAGTTTAAAAACTCCTCTCATATCTAGTGTATCAATGAAACACCACCAAATTTGTTTTCTTCACACTTAATGAAAATAAGTAACTAAAAATTGTCCAAATGTCTGAGAAAAATATAAACTGATTCTATGCTGCTTATCAGAACTCTTCTAACATTATACATTTGGCTATTAAAAAATCATAAAAAGAAATTAATTGGGCATATGTAGGGAGATGGGACATAGTGCTTATAGTTTTTATTCCTAAATATTATATTAAGGAATTTTATATAGTCATTTCTTTTTAAGATATGCCATTCTCTAATGTGGAATTATTGATCACAAATGCTCAAAAAGTAGACCTCAGCAAACATTCTACTGCTTTGAGCTTCCGACCAGCCTCTTTCCTGCTATAAAGTGCTAAGAAGTTCATGTGACATATTAGCACAGCCTTATAACACCAATCTAAGAAAATATGGTGTCAGAAATACACACCTCTTATTTTATGTTTGTATCTTCAGTAATAAAAAAGGGATAAATAAATCTGAGATCTTGAAGTCTGAGTTTTAAGACACCAAATTATATAAACATATGGACCTGTTTGTTTAAATTAAGATAAAATTTCCAGTCTCTTAACAAAATTTAAGAAAGCATATATTTTAAAAAACAGACAGTTCAAAGACTGTAGCTAATCAAAATACGTGGGATAAGATTGAGTAAGCAAAAAACGACATTTTAAACATCTTAGCCTCATAAAATCCTAAATTAATTTTTGATGGATGGGGAACCACAAAATGCTACTGTAAAACTTGTTTTAGTCAACGGAACTTAAATGTAGTCAAATAATCTTTACACTATTAAAGCCATCTAGGCAATTTCTTAAATTTCATTAAATGTATCTTTTGTTTTCTCTAGAAGTAGGACAAACTCCAAAATAACTTGGGCAACATAGCATCCCCTTACTTTCTTCATCTGGAGAACCCTCTACCCTTTACTGACACCCTCTGGTCCTTATTACTGAATCAGTTTTGAGATTAAACCACACTCTAACCTCTAATCTAAAGGTGGTAAAGGTCTTCTAACCTGTTAAATTAAAAAGACATTTAAAGAAATATATTTTAGCCAAAACTGTTCATTTTATCAAACTACTCAATTGGACCCATACAATTGAAGTAGACGTGCACAAGCAACTAATTTTTAATCATTTTGTTAAATAAATGTAGCCTGTGTGTGTGTTCACTGTTTGATTTTAATTAATCTTCCTAACCTAATAAAGATTTCAGACCACTTAATAGTTTAAGGGTTGCTCTGATAGGAAAACATTAAGGTATTTCAGCGGTCCATTTAAAAAATCCACAATTGTACTTTCTCAGATCTATTTCTAAACATACTGTGGTGTACATGTGCCCCACAATTTACAAAGTTTGGCATTTAGTTAATCTAAAAGGGTAAATATTCTTTTGTCCAACTTTGAAAATTCTTTCAACGGCATATGCAAGGAGAAAATTAAAATTAGCAGTTTTACTCCTCATTTCTTAGTTTTCAGAAGTTTTAAACTTTAGAAAATTTTAAAGGGTCCACCAATCCCTGCACAAAAACCTTGACACTTACATTGTAATAAGCATTTCACTGATTTTCTACTTCAAATATCCTTTAATATCATGTTACCCTACTCCACTTAAGGTATTTTTTAAATTCTATTTCAGTATTTATAGCACATTTCCATTTTTTGACTTGTAAATTTGTATTTTGTGTTTTGTTTCTCTCACTACACTTGGTTGGTCTTTGTATGTAATATCTTTATTTTTTAAGCATTTGCTTTATGTCACATATTGTTACACAGTCATATTGTTTGGGGAGTTTCTTTTGAGTTGAGTCAGAGGAAACATATACCTGTCAGTCTGAGACTCAATATAACCATCCACATACAACTTATTTGAGTATGAAGTAGGAAAATATGCAAAGAAACCATTGTGAGTTGCTTAAAATTGACCCCAGGCCCTTGGGAGAAAAAAAAAAAAAAAAGACTTTGTTATTACTAGTTCTTTTATGTTTAGGGTCACGGTATTAATCAATCATGAGGAACTCCTTCAAGCTTGCTATGATAATCCTAAGTATTTCTGTAGCTCTGTTACAGTTCAATAGTAATCAATTATACCTTCATTTTTTAAATTTGACACACTATTTATCTGTCTGTGTTTTTTTTTAATGATAGTCTCCTAATGAACGTCTCTTCTTTCATCCTTATTTCCCCAGTTAAAATTGAGATTCAAGGTGTAAGTATGGTATATCTAAATTATTTTATCTTTTCAATCAGAAAAAAATACAGATGGATTAAATATAGGTAAAGCATTTCACATACAACAGTTTAAAAGTTTTCTGCTTCCAAAGATGCATTTAAATTACCACACTGTATTGTATTTTTCATGCCAAAGAGGTAAGAACATTTTAAAATAAAAGAATTCTAAAATATTTAGTGGATCCTTGTCTTTCCAAAATAAAGTTAGTTAAACAATTTAAAATTTTCAAGACTGTCAGATTAATTCTCAGTTTATTTTACACCATGTTCATATTTATGCAAATTACTATTCTCTTCCACTTGTCAATAAAAAGCTCAATAAGGTTGTCTGAACATATTTTTACTTCTCAAAAATATCTCTCTCAGTCCTACACGACATTTAGAGAACACCACAGCATAACTCAAGACACTGTTTTTCTCTGGTCTCTCTTTATAGAACTTTATAGAACTCCACTTCCAGAGCATCCCTCCTGAATTTTAACAAGTTATTGCACTGCCAGGTGCCCAGTTATTGGGCTGTCTTCTCACAAATACCTTGCTCAGTCATGAGACATGCATTCAGTATCTGAGAACCACATCCTATTTTCTGAGCATTTACTCTCTTTTGCAGAAAAATTCTTACCCTCACCTGGCATTCATTACCTTACCGTTTACTTGTAGGAATTGCTTAGTCTTATTTTGGATCACATTATGAGATACACAAATGGGTTATATTTACTCTTGCTTCAACTTTTCTGACTTAAAATCCCAGCAGAGAAAAACAGCATGTTTGGGGTGGGGGAAAGAAAAAGAAAAAAAAAAAAAAACCTTTACGTTACAGTTTTTAAATTCTGACAACGTGGCAAGAAAAGATGGCTTTGCAGAAGCGAGTGTGTCAAAAATTGTAAGTGCCTGGGAGACGAAGTGCACAATCACAGAAACCAGTCCCTGGCAAAGGAATGCCAGCCACTTACCAATGAGATGCCAGACTGCCCTGTCCTTCCTCTTGACTCTCAATTCCTGTCTGCCATCCTCTGCCCGTCAGCACAGTTAGGATAGAGCAGTTCCTTGAGTCCACTCAGACTGTGGCAGAAGAGAATTGCGGAGTTTTTAATCATTCAGAGGGAATCCTCTGGCTGGCCCTGCTTCTCCCTGAAGAGGGGGACCCAGGTAACTCATCCTTTCCGCCCCGAGCTTTAATGGCACTTTGGCTGCCGCCTCCTCGCAGTTCCGCGCCCCCACTCCGGAGTTGGTTATATCGGGAAGTAGGTGCGGCGCCTCCTCAGGCGGGTACGTTTGGGGCTCGCGTGTTTTCCTCCAATGCGTCCGCGCGCCCCGCGCCCCGCGCCTCTGACTGGCTGTGTCCTTCCCGGAGCGGCCCGTCGCCCCTCCCCGCCCGCCCGCGCGCTCGCTGCCGCCCGCGCCCTGCGCCTCACTGCCTCTCGCCGAGAAGGTTCACGTAGCATGTCGCCGGGCTGAAAGGTCTGTTTGCTTCCAGAAGGGCTTTATATGTTTCTCTACTCGTCTCACTAGTCCGCCGCTATTTCCCTTCGCGCCGAGGTGCGGAGGGCTGCCCCTCCCCCCGTGCGGTTCTGCTCCGCAACCTTTCCAACTGTAACATTCAGAGATTATGGAGCGAACGCGTGGGCTGGTGACTGCTCGGGGATCTCCGAGTCCCCTCCTCTGCCCGCCGGCCGCCGTCTGTCGGCCTGCGGATTCCGACTCGGTCGCTCCAAGTCCACACCGCCGAGGCACCGACCGAGACGCGCCCTCAGGCCGGCCGCCAGCGCGCTTCGCACTGTGGAGAACGCGCCTAGGTCCCGCGCTTCTCTTTGTTCGCACGCTTGCGAGTTTTATCTGAGGACGCCTGGGCTCTTTGACGGTTTTTATTTCTCCTCGGTTGTTTTCCCCTCCGCGTCAGTCCTCAGTAAGCTAAGGAGACAGTCGGCTTAGCCTCAGACAGCGGCCCCCCCCTTTTTTTTTTCGTGAAATTTTATATCACAATGAACGTAATTGGAAAAAGAACACAGGTAGTAAATCCACGGTGTGGCAGCTTTAGTGCTATTGTTCTGGGAGCCCCCCCTCGACCTTTCCTCTCTGGATCTCTGAGTCATTCTCTAATTCTCCTGATTCCTCTGATGCTGAGAGTTTGCTACAGAAATTATATTACGCGTCCTTTGCAATGCATTTGCATAGGTAAAGCGATTAGCACCTGTATGTAATGGAAAAGAAACCCCGCACACTGTTTTCTCTTTCTGTGCGTCTGTCTAGGACACTGCGTGAGAGCCTCAGGCCACACCCGCTGTTGGTTGGTGTCCGGCGTGCATATGTGTTTGAGTCCTTCCGGACCCTGCACTGGGGCTGATTCTTCTGCTCACTTAATCCCCCAGTGGGGTCTGACTGGCTCGAATTGGTAAGGAGAGTCCAGTGCCACGCAGCCTGTAGCTGGAAGCCTTCCTGCCACTACCTATGGGTTGTTTCTCTTGCAGCTTTTCTGGTAATTAAAATTAGTCTTTTTCCTGTTTCTTGGCTTCTCACTCATCCACACATGTTGTACGAACATCCAGCCTCTGCTTTGAATGGCCACCCTCAGGATCTAGGCTCATTTCTTGTTCCACAGCAAAGACAAATTTGTGTATTCACATTTAATGCTTCTCTACCCTTCCATACTTTTTATTTTCTTTTTCCCGCTTTCCAGTAATTAGGTTATTTTCTTTATGTGTTAACTGAGGAATTGTTGCCGAGATTTGACTTCTCTGGGCTTTTTCTCTGCTTCACTAGCTCTACTCATGTGTCAGGCTGTTGGTTCACAGAGAGAATTACCAGGACTTTTATAACCTCTTTAAATATATCACAAGATAGATTCAAAGTCTAAAAGCTTAAAGCATTTTTTTATTGTGCAATGAAGTTTTTGCCTTTAAATGGTTGTTATAATTGAGCACATCAACCTTAATAGGAGTAGAGAAGGCGAGCTTGCTTATTTATAGTTTTCTTTACTTCCCTTGAACACCTTTATATTGCAAGTGATTTGATAATTTTGGCATTTGTGTCACCGCCTCATATATTTAATATATTTTCTTTCAACTATCATTTCAGAAAAAAATTAAGTTGCCTTATTAAATTTCTTTTAAAAAGTAATAAAAAAAATGTAGGTCAGTCAAATCAAGACATAGAGCAACGTGATAGATAGTTGGAGACATAGGAAGCCAGGAATGAGGCTTAGGCAGAAAAACTCATTTATATTTTGTTAAAAATGGCCTTAAGTTTACCATTAAGATAGTAGCCAAAGTAAAGAAGGAAACACGATCAGTCACATGTTTCATGGTACCCTCCCACAACATGAGGAAGGAAACGTATGTTTCGAACGATATAGGTGTATTAATTATTTAAATAAAATAATATAAAGACTTATGATGTTCTGACATTTTACAAAAAAGATAGTTATTGGCATAATTAGGTATGAAGATAGTTGTGTAACAAATATTGATATTAGTAAGGCGTGTTTTCTTTTGAGGTTATCTGATCATTTAGAGGGAGGGAAAAGAGATGTTGAATCTGGTTAATTAGGAATAGTAAGGTCTATTTCTGTCAGTTCCAATTTCGAATATTAATTTCAAGTTATGGGGTAGGGGTGACTATGTTACATGGATATATTGCAGCAAGACTCGGAATGAGTGACTATATTTTCATTTATTTTATAATTTAAAATATTTCATTATATAATATGCAACTATAAATTCAATATTAGTATTATATATTCTATATTAGCGTCTCTATATATACCACAGACAATATAAGTCTTTTTGACTTCTACATCTTTCTGAAAAATTTAGAATTTTGCTATTGTGGAATCTATTTTTGTTGTACTGGATATTGTTAAATTGGCCTATCAGTCATATACCTCTGTATCTTATTACATCCACAGGGTTCAGGTATAAGCAGGTGAATGTTTGAAATTAGGGAGAACAACATCAGTGAGTAAAGTAAGAAGCAGGAAAATTTTTCTTTCAGCAGGTCTGCCAAGAAGAAACAAGGTAACTCATGATTTCCAAGTACCTATCGGATCTTTTCACACGTATCTTAACTAGTCATTTCTTTTATTCTCATGTGAAAATGGGAATTTAAAATATTGCTCATATATTATCTTTAAAAATCATAGGCATTCATGCCCCATTATAAAATCGCAATGCTATTTACTTTAAAAAGGTCATTATTAGAAAGATCGCTTGTTTCTCTCTATTTCAGAATGTTAGTGACATTTTAAAATAAACCAGCTCATTGTCTACCCTGACAAAATATCATTTGAACATTAAATGAATTAAAAATATTGTTTGTATGGGGGTTAAGTGGTTTAGTGAGTCATTTTCTCCATGCTATGCTTATAGTACCTTGACCAAGCTGTCTCGTTGCTTATCTGATCTTGTTGTCTAACCATCTTTGTGTAAATGTCTTAATCTCTTTATCTCCTGGTCCCCAGTGGGCAAGTGAGCAGATGTAGCACATCTGTAGCAGTTGAGTTGCCTCTAAGCTTTTGTCTTCTTTGTGTTACAGATTTTTTCTTTAAATCACGGCCTCCTTTCATCTGACTCCTAGAAGGTTCTAGGTTATAGTTATGAGGCCAGTACTACGTATTTGTCAATTTGTCAACAAATTGTACCATAACATGAAAAGAATCAGGGCAACACTCAGTTCAAGTAAGTTAAAGTCCTTTCTTGAATCACCTGCTTTGCTTATTGCAGCTACTTTCAGCATTTGCATTTTTCTGTTTTGATGTTTTAATCCTCTGTGTTATATATTGAAAAGAATAGTGAAAGAGGAAGTACTGATAAATTAATCAAAATCACATTGTCAATGTGCACTTGTATTCCCTATAAATATAACTAAAACATGAAGATCCAAAAGTAAACTTTTACTTGAACTGGACAACATATGATGATTTTAATTTTATTTTGGGTTTCTTAGAACATCAGTTTTAGTACTTACATCACAGCTGTTTTGTGAAAGCAGAAATAAACATATCTTAATCAGACTTGGAAAATATACTGACTTAATTAATTTAACAGCTGTTCCAGTAACCAACACTAAAGAACATAGCCCACTTTGAGGATGTCTTGATAACATCTGCAACCAAAAACATTAAGAGGCCTGAGAGAGGAGCTGTAATTTGATGATTTTGGTGCTCAGAGTGCCAACTTTTGCTTATGGAAGCTATGGTCATGACTGACCTCTGAGTGGTCCTCATGCTCATCCTGTGACATCTTGGTATAACAAAAATGTTTTTACTTAGGAAAGAACAAAAGACGCTGTCACTTTAACTGAGATTTTACAAAACAGGAGTAAAAGTTGAAATCCTACTAACTTAAAATTACTTAGTGTGATTGTATTCAGTCACTTGTTAAATAAACACTTGCATTTTTTCCTAAATAATCTTTAGTGTAGGGATGTACATAAATTTTAATAGATTCACTTTTATAGATGTCTCAATTCCATTTTGTATAGTGTTCTCTCACCAAGATCTTCTCATATATAATTATTTTCTGTAAAGAAACAAAACCTGATTCATTTGTTCATGACCAGATACGTTCCAAATATTATATGTTTACACGCAAATCTTTTCAATCTGGAATAAAAATCTCAAGTGCCTTCTTAGTTCTAATTTGTTGTATCTTATTTTAAGGGAGTTTCATATGTGTGTTGTATTTTCATCATTTTCCATCTCTTCCTGGACTTACAGGTGCATTAATTTGAACTTTCTTTGACTTTTTGCACTAAATCGGAATAATATTTCTCCAAAATAAATTTTGTTATCAAATACTATACCCACATTTCTATTCCAGCTCCTCATGGTCTTATTTATAACTGTACTCAGTCTTTTTTCTAAATCGTGTTTATAACCCAACTTAAGAATTTTATGTAGGTCTTTATATAGAGAACTAGACTGTATGCTTCCTGTGGACCAAGAACTAAATTTTATACACAGCATGCTGAAATTTTGTGTTTAAACTTTTTTATTGGTTGAGTAGTGTACATATAGGAAACCTTATTTGCTCATCTGAGATTCATTCAGAGACTGCACTATGAAGCACCACTTACTTTTCTGTTCACCAGTAAGCCTGTAGTTTGCAAATGTGACCACAAGATGGCACTCGTGTTCTAATTAGGAATGTCATTTAGGTTCTGTCCTAAGGATTCTGATTTTTTTAGGAATGAGATGAACCCCCAAATTAGCTACTGACGCTATAAGAAGAGTTATATACAACTTAATGTAAACATCTACTAAACACATCAGAAAATTGTAAAATGTCAAATATTTAGTAGGTGGTCCTGCACCTTGAGGCAAAATAAGAGCTATTAAAATTTGTTGAGGGGTAAATATATACTAGGCATTGAAATAGGTAGGTATGCTTTCGATGAATTGTTCCATTTTATCCTAATGATCTGGTTGAAACTCATTTTCAAGTAGTCTGCCTCCATTGACTGTTCTTCACCAGTTCACTAAACCAATCCTTGTTTTGATTAGAGTATATCACTTAAAATCACCACCAAATAAAGTATTGTTAGTACCAGATGCGCAGAAGAGACCTCGTGTATAGAGAGAATCCAATAAATGGAAAATAACTTTAGCACAAGTATATAACAAGACAAAATGCCATATTAAATCTATGTCTTGGAAGTTTATGGCATTTTGTGTATAATCTCTTGGACATATAATTAATTCAAGTTAACATTGATTAGGAAATAACTAGTCTAAGCACTGTACAAGATGAATGAATTTAAATATGAGATTTTCACAAAACTTTTTTTCATATACTTCAAAAAGTGAAGAACTATATAGTCTTTCATTTTAATATTTTGCTTGAATAATACAGATTCAAATGCTAATTGACGTATAACAACCCCAATTCTGGAAGAAAATACATAGTTTTAACAATAAATGCTGTTTTGTTCACAAGAGATTACATTTTGAGGTTCCTTTTTTTTTTTTTTTGCCATCAATCCTATTTATGTCTAGTTTGCTTCCTTTATAAATTAAAAAAAAAAATTCCTGTCACCATGTCAGGTTCACTCTGGTGCCCAGAAACTGGGTTATGTTCTTTCTGTCTGACCCACCACCAACTATTGCTCTGCTTCTATAATTGGTAACAGTGAAGGGATCAGGACTCTGCTGAAAATTGCTTTGATAACAGAGGAGATCCCCTCTGGAATAGCTACATTAATTTTGCTGCTGAGAATGGTAAAAACTTACTTTGTGTCTGTGAAATTTTGCGATATAATTTATGTTATGCAAATACAGATACAATAACAATATTTTATGCTTAAATTGCACCTTATAAGGATCTCAAGCTCATTGAATATGGAAATAAAAACTAAACAATGTAGTATAGCTACATGTAACTGCTTTACTATACCTTTCATTATTTCCTATGTCACATCATCTGTGTACATACATAAACTTTACATGAAAGGAAAGACTCATACACTGTGAACCTATTTTCAGGGCAATTGGTGAAGTGATATTCCTAATGAGATGAAAATAAATTACTTCAGTTGGCAAGCTATAATATAATGCAACTTTATTGTAAAATATTAATTATTAATCATTAGCTTACAAAGGGCTGCCAGTTTTGTAGTGGGGAAAAAAAAAGAGTGTATGTTGGGCAGTCCCAAGGAACTAAAAGTTTGAACAAGATGGCATCATGTTGGCTGAGGCTTATGCTAAATGATGCTTGCTCAGTAGGTAGTAGATACTGATAAGACCCAGCATTAGAGCAGATCATATCAAAACCCACCGGAAAACAATATGAGACAAAAATTAGTGACAATGTTTGCTGAAAAATGACAGAAGTGGTGTTTTGTACTCATAGTAAGCCTTAGGACAATGCTACCAACTGAGTCAAGCCCGGAAGGGTAGGAAGCATGGTCGTGTTACAGTGGCATTAGCACAATGAATGTGTAAGGAGCTATTAGTACTAGTGAAAACTGCATGTTTGACTATAAGTTTGAAAACTTTAAAAGAAAAATCATTAAATTAGAACTTTTGCAATATTATATGAGTAATGGGGAAAATCTTGTTTTCTCACCACAGAATTGCTCTCTTAATAAGGAAAAAAAGAACCAAATTTCCAGATTCATGGAAGAGTCACTGGGAAGACTGAAACAGCATAGTGGCTTCCACTCTAGACTACAATCTCTGCTTCCCAGTTGGGCTTTGCCTCCTGGTTATCACTTGCACATATTCTCCTGGGAAAATAGAGAACACACATGATGAGCCTGTAGTTTAGCAAGCTACAGTGACTTCATCTTCTCCACACAGTACAGTACTGCTTATTTCTTCCTCCCCACTTTTTTTCCTTATCTTTATTCAAATATGACCTGAGTTAGAGTTCCAGCTCCTCTGATTCTCTTATCCTGATTGATATAAACATAAATCTTATTCTGATTTGTTCTCATTGTATTAGTTACTTCAAAATGAAAATATACTCCTTATGACAGGATGGAAAATACATGTTTTAAAGTCTAAATTGTTGACTTTGATATATTCTGACGTTGAATAAAACACATTTGTGCTTCATTTTCTTACTAAACCTTTACGATGTATACACACGTGTTTTTAATCTTTTAAATGCTTTATTCATTTATATTTAAGAGAGAGAGAGAGGGCAGACTCCTTGTTGTCAGAGCAGAGCCCCACGTGGGCCTCAAACTCTAATTGTGAGATCATGACCTGAGTCAAAACCAAAAGTTGAATGCATAACAGACAGGGCAACTCAGGCACTGCCCCTCGCACAAGTGTTTTCTTAAAGCATAGACAATATTTTTAATGTTGAAAACAGTTAACATGGATAAAAATTAGGAAACATTCTTTCTGATATCTCAATTGGTCTTGTCTTTTTAGTGGGTTACTCTCTTGCTTACTGAGGGTGAAGATGACTCTAAAAGAAATAACCAAGTATTTTAAGCTTATTATTCCCTACATAATTAAATTTGATGTTGCATTCTTTTACTTGTATCATAAACCAGTGTTATGATTATTTCCTGTAAAATAAGGATCTTCATATATAGATTCTTCATATACTTCATGGAAAGACATTCCAACAAACTCAAAACAGTTTATTGTTAAACTCTCAGAGCAATTTGGATTTTAACAATAATCAAATTTTCACCTATAAACCATTCTTAATATATAATATACATGTTAGTTAACATATTAAAAATAGAAGCTAGGGGAGTTCTAGTGTTGCTTGAATTATACTTTTCATAAGTAAATATTTATTCCTTCTGTATGTTACCTGAGGATTTGTTGCTCTTTTGTTAAGTATTACTTAATGGACTTATATTTAAGGAAAGAATTCTGAAATGAATTTTTATTTACAGGATTTTTTATTTGAGGTTCTTTGTGCCACTGCTACTTTTAGGTGTATTTAAAATTAAGTTTCTTTCTCTTCACATGGTACGTATGATAATTAATACAAGTTATAATTGTTTAAAATTCACACATTCTTTTAACAAATGTTTTTACTACTGATTATGTGACACTACTTTCAAGGAGCTTATAGTACAGCCGTGGAAATGCAATGTCCAAAGTGCTTTAACAGAGATAGTTTTAGGAGTCTGTGGGAAGGCATGACAGAACAGCTTTCAGTGCATTGAAGGGAGCCCTTCGTCAAGGACATGAATCTTAAATGGTTCAAAAGAATGAGTGGGAGGATCAGCCAAAGGTGTTTAAAAATACCTATATCTATCTATATATATTTGTATCTGTATCTATATCTATCTATATACACATTCACATCCGTATATTGTGAGGAGGAAAAAGAATTCTCTACCCTTCCAAAAAGAATTTACTCTTCCTGGTTTTTGGCTGAGGCACACTGTAATAAAAAGACAAATTAAGAGGAGAAACACAAATAGAAATGTAATAACTTGTATTCCTTCTGTATGCATTGGAAATACTCAGGAAAACTAAGTACCTCCCCCAAAATGGTTGAAGTCATCACCTGAAATGCTATTTTCTGCTAAAGACAATAGAAGTTGTTGGGAGTGAGGAGTTACTTATAGGAGGAAAAACATAGTCAACAGGAGTAAGATTGTGATGCAGACTTAAGTCCATGCTTTCACCATTGATAACAGTTTCCAGGGAATAGGATATCGTCCTCTTCCTGGTACAGTGAGATAGATACTTACAAATAGACACTTCCTTTATAAACATAAATGTTTTCCAAAAGGGTAACTTCTGCTAAGTTTCCAGAATGTTTCCTGTGTCTACAATTTCTTCCTTCCTTCCTTCCTTCCTTCCTTCCTTCCTTCCTTCCTTCCTTCCTTCCTTCCTTCCTTTCTCTTTTTCTTTCTTTCTTTGTAATGTTTATTTATTTTTTAGAGAGAGAAAGAAAGAAAGAGAGGGGTGGGGAGAGGCAGAGAGACAGAAACACAGAATCTGAAGTAGGTTCCTGGCCCCTCACTGTCAGCACAGAGCCCCAAGCGAGGCTGGAATTCACAAACTGCAAGATCATGACTGAGCCAAAGTCAGATGATTAACCAACTGTCAACATGAGCCCCTCCCCCCTTTTTAATGTTTATCTTTTGTACAATTTCTTAAAAATAACCAGGTTGAGATCATCATTAGGCCGAAGAGATGTATTTTGGGATCCAAAATTCTTGCTTTCCATATCTATATCTATCTACATCTATACCCATATCCATATCTTTCTGTATCTGTGTCTATATTCATATAGAATCTATACTGATGTTTGTATCAAATATCAATACCTATCTAACCCTGTGATAGGAGCACAGTATGCTGTTTCATGTTTTCCAGAAAGTTAAAATTAATGAATATGGGTACATACTGCAGCCCCTTGAAAGTGCAGAGCACAAGATGTTGAAGTAGCAGTTCAATTAGGAAAATGTAATCTTAAGGAACCGGGATCATTGAAAATATTTGAACAGGAGAAGATAATTCTGTAGATGATTAGGCTTGAATCAGAAAAATCGGTTAGGGAATATTATAGTATTTTATCCATGGATCATAAAAGCAGAAACTAGGAATGTGGCAGGGTAGAGGATCCCAGAGACTTCTAGGATGAGGAATCAAGATGTGTGGACTAATTGGGCACATGCGGCAGTGACAGACAAAAGTCGCTGTGCATTAACTCTTTTCTTCTAAACCCACACAACTAGGTATACTATGTGAACAAAATAGGCAAGAAATAGACTCTGCCTTCCTGGATCTTAGACTTCATTGGGAGATCTAATCAAGTAAGCAAGACATTACACTGAACCCATTGTGCTAAGTGGGAAAAAAGGGGAACTCTAGCTGTCAAAAGTAGTGAATTTAGCTGAACTGTAGTATCTAAGGGATAGATATAGAGGATAGGTAATGAGTTCAGTTTATAGTGATATAGATTCATTTGTGCAATATTTAAGAAACTTGAGCTGAATAATACTGAAAGCCTATGTTTAGAGGTCATAAATTTTGTGTTGAAAGTAATCAGGTATATTTGGTAGGTGATGCATGGAATAAAAATATTGATCTTAAGAATGATAGCATGAGAAGAGGCAGGACCAACAATGGAACCTCAGGGAACACCACATTTTAAAGTCATAGAGAAATAAGAACCAATAGTGGATATGGAGAAGGTGATATCTTGTATGAGGAGGAGAATCATGGAGGTTTGTCAAGGAAGCTAAAGCTGGAGATAATTTCTAGAAGTAGAGCAAGCACAAATGCATCAAGGTCAAAGAAGTGAAAGAAGATAGGAATTAAACATTCATTTTTGATGTGGCTTTTAAGAGTTTGGAAGACAACAGAGGCATGTTGTAGTAATGAAGAGTGCATCAAAGGCAATGGATAATATAAAAAGGTCATCAAAACTTTGATATGATTGTTTTAACAAAATAAAAGGGCAGAGAAAGATTTTAAAAAGTCTCACGTATAACTTATTTGGCTGAATTTAACTTGCAGTCAATAGTACTAATTTGTTTTTGTTTTAATTGAGGGTTTTGTCTGTCATTACTATTTTTTGTTTTTTTCCTGGAGAGTTATTTCTCAAACATATCATTTTAATCTTTTCTCCTGTTGTTGGTATTATTGTTGTTAGAAAGAAAATTAGATCTTAGGAATTCAATTTATGGTACATAATTCATATATAAATTAGATACAAATATTTTGTACATACCCTTATACATGTATACGTAACATTTTACTCTTACACTTTAAGATTGTTTGTTCTAGATCAAAAAGCACACTATAACATAGAGCCCTACTGCAACATGAGTATCATTTTATAGCAACACAACACTTACCAACTCTGAATTGAGAGAATGAAGGCAGCTTGTATGCTTAAGGAATAAATTAAAAGCATGAAAAAACTTACTTATTTAAATTGGGCCCAATTAGAGTGATTTTCTTTGAATAAAATCCACGTAAGATTAGTAATACCTAACATCTTTACTTGTTTATTAATAACACAAATAAATGTAACTAAAATATACTGTGAAATTTATAATTATAAAATAATGTCTGATGTATGTTTATTGCCATTAATGAGTTATAAATAATATAATCTTAAAACTTAAGTCACTCTTACCAGATACAAATATGATATCATATATAATTCCCCTCTAACAAACAAGCAAGCAAAAGCGTTCTCCACTGAATCTGTGCCATTTTCTTAGAAATGATCTATTAAAATCTGAAATAGTAAAATACCAACACAAAAGAAAATATATTTCAGGTTGATTTTGAGACTTGGAAAACAAAATGTGTTTAGCAGTTTCAGGGGGAAAAGACCTAAAGAGAGTCTTTTTGGGACTCCTTTATTCAACAAATGAGCAGTGCTTTTCTGAAAACTTAGTTATTTTCTATACTAACCAACAGACTGGCATGATTCTCAACTATTATAATTTGAATTGTTTCTGCAACTTCTGAGCTTGCCATGAATTAATGTGGCATATACATCTTTTTAATTCTCTTGCATTTTCTGAAGATAAATGTTTAAATATAATCCTCCAAAATTTTTATTTAGTATATAAAAAGCTGATCAGAATATGTATTTTTATTTTGGTTTATGCTTGTAGACATGAATTTTAATTAACTCAGCAACAGCTGATAATAAGATTATTAGCATGTACAAAGTGTACAGTTAATAGAAGCAGAACTAGAGGCAATTAGTGGAATTAGGTGTTTTTTCTACCGAGAAAGAATATCCTAAGTACTAATTGTTTATGCCAGTCCAGTCACTGCAGATATCACTAATAGCATCATTAAATCAATGTAACACTACATTATAAGCACTAAATAGACTTAGTGATCTGGTATCAGATTGGCACACTGATGAGCTTATTAATATTTTCTATGAGTTATGTATACACTGGGGAAACTTGATTTTGCAACACTTCATTTTATAAATTTTCAAAAGACAAAAACATGCTTCCTCTGCC